ACGTTCGGTTACCTAACGGCCGGTTAAGGATTTAACCGGCCGTTAGAGTTAACCGGCGGTTAAGATAACCGAGTATTGAACAACCGGGCCCAGATAGATAGTTAGTTAACCAACTAAGTACGTTTCCACGAACACCATCATTTTTTCTAATATGTGCAATAAACCTTTATGCCATGCCCTGTAAAAAGCTTTTAAAATATCACAAAACAGCATACAGTAAAGGTGGTGATTATCTAGGACTGAGCATATATTATGATAAATGTCTATGTTGAGATGTAGTAGAATGACTAGCAGTAAAACCTGACTGGAATTTACTTAAAATGTTATGTTCATGGAAATGGTCGTGCACATGTTTTACCATTATTCTTTCAAGGATTTTCCAAAGGACAGGTAATAAACTATTAGGTCTGTAATTAGTTTGGAGGGATGCATCTCCTTCTTTCAAAATAGGAGTAACATTACCCGTTTTCCACAATGTAGGAAATACAGTCACCAGTGATATATTATACAACAAACAAAGAGGTTCAGCTATAGATGTACAAATTCGTTTTAACACTCTCATGTTAATGCCATCAGGTCCACTAGATTTTTTTCGCTGGTAAGGTCTTATCAGATACCTCCTTTTCGGTTACAATGACATTTGTTATACAGTTAACACAGCGATGGCTAACAGGTGGCAAAGTCTTGCCGCCATCAGTAACATTTGAAACAGATACAAAATATTCATTTAATGTTTGAGCTTTATCCAAATCTGTAAAACTGAAGGTATCCCAGAATCATCAGTGACAAGAAGAGGAATGGGTCCGATGAAGTAGTAACCACCTGATTGAGTAGATTGAGGTGATAAATAGTTATCAAAAATAGATTAAACGTTTCCCTTGGCTATTCTTTTAGATTATTTACTTTATTCCTCTGCTTTTGTAATTTAAATAGCTCATAAGTATTCAGAGATCGAAATCGTAGTTTCCGATACCTTTTCAACTCCCCTGGGGACTGTACAGCCATGCTGCCTGTTAGGCGCAATGAACTAAACACTCACATTGCCAGCACATACTCACGGGTACCCATTTAACAGCTGGGTGAACTGAGACAGTGTAGATCTAAGTATCTTTGTCCAAGGATACTACGCAAATGTGCTCATCTCGGGAACCGAACCTCGGTGCCTCCTCGAAACCGGGGCCTTCAGCGTGATAGTCACAGACGCCTTAGAACTGCACTATTGCAGCTATCTCTTGGATAATGGTATACCCTCAGATAATATCATATAAAATATGTTCAGCATAGTATTGATGACTTCCCGTCATCATCAACATTCAAAGATTTGGATTGCTTGATTTACATTTAGACGGGGACTGGTTTCTTTTTTAGGACACCCTCATTTTAAATTTTCAAAAACATTGTGTCCAGATATACAACATATTGAGAGCTGACACTTGTGTGACCATTCAGTATTTAGTTTGAACCCTTGACATCATGTATGAATAAGTGAAAACTTTAGGATGAGTTATATCCTTATGATGACGTCAACTGAAAGGGGTGGGTAGTGTCTCCAAAACAAGCCCCTTTCAGTAAACATGAAGGGGAGTCACTTGAACAAGCTGATTATAGTTTAGAATTGCTTTTGTGCAGTTTAATATCTAAGTTTGACTTTACCAACATACAACATGTTTTTGCATATTTTGTTTCAATTGCGTAGGGGATTCCCGCCAATACACCTTGATATAAAATTGGATCAAAATCTATTAATTCTTTCCTAAGTTCGCGGCTACCAAGCTTGGTATGTGCAAAACTGTTACACCTTCGCTGTGACCTTTAAAATGACCTCAAGGTCAGTAAATTCAAGTGGTGTCGGTAAATCTCGTCAATAAACCTTGGTACCAAATTTGAACAAAATCCATCATTTCTTTCGAGTTCTTTCAGTAAACCGAAGGGGAGTCATTTGAACAAGCGATTTGTAGTTTCAAATTGCCTTTTGTGCAGTTTAATATGTGTGTTTGATTCTAGCCGACCTCTACTAATCTCAAACATACAAAAATGTTTCTTGCATATTTTTTGTTTCCTGAAGTTTAATTTTAGGATGCATTTTATTGCTAGTCAGCTAGGCTATTCCATTTGTCCGAACCACAACATACGGAGACAGATCATTTAGCAGACCGGGTGCTGTACTCTGGAATTGATTACCTGAAAATGTCAGAAAATCGGAAAATATCAACAGTTTCCGATCTTGTCGCAAAACTATCCTCTTCAAACGAGTATTCGACTAAGCGCACATGAGCAGGACTCTGGATATTTTGCGCTATACAAATGTCTAATTTGATTTGATTTGATATACCCGCTAGAAACCCACCCTAATTTTATATTTGTACATATCAAAACCTCAAAAGATATTTGCGGAAAGGACATGATACAGAGGACAGTAGGAGGTTTATATCGATTATATACTCTCCCAAAAAGAAACGCATATAGGAATTTCAACTGTATTTTTATGTTTATTTTGAAACATCTCGTAGGCTTTATGAGTCAATGAAATATAGCGAAATTGCACACTGGGAATGCAGACTTATCCGTCTCTTTGGCACCAACCTCGAGGAAAGTCAGTTTGAGTGTCAAGCATGGAGACGTGTGGTGGCGCTGAAGTCAATACCTCGTGTGACCACCGTGGGCATCCAGAACTGCACGGCATCGCCTCGGCATCGAACGAATAAGTCTCAGAATCTCGTGTTGCCCAATCGCAGCCCACTCTGCCTGTAGTGCCTGGGTGCGAGTTGCTGAAGTGTCTGGGGCTGAGGGTTACGGCGTCGCACCCCGTCTGTCCAGGGCATCCCACAGATGTTCGATCGGGTTTAAGTCCGGTGATCTTGAGGGCCAGAGGAGCACATTGATGTTGTGGTTCTGGAGGAAGTCTCTAGTGTGACGTGCTGTGTGGGGCCTGGCATTGTCCTGTTGAAACAACTCCCTCTGGCGATCAATGATTGGAAGGAGGTGTGGGCGTAGGATTTCGTCACAGTACCGTTGAGCTCGTCAGGGTTGCCCTGATCATCACCAAATCACTTCTCCTACGGCAGGTGATCGCCCCCACATCATAACACTTCCCGGCCGAATCTGTCCACCTGGGAACGCAAGCGTCGGCGAAACGTTCACGTCGACGTCTGTACACCCGCATTCTTCCATCGCGTCGTTCCAATAGAAATCGTGATTCATCACTGAACCAGATTCTACGCCAATTCGGTAGGTTCCAGGCCTGAACGTTGGTGCACCATTGAACTCGATGTCGACGATGTTGTTGTCGAAGCACAGGGCCAAAATAAGGTCTTCTGGCACGTAAACCAGCCTCTCTCAACCTGTTCCTGACGGTCTGTGCAGAAAGCCTCCTCAATCCGGGTATTTGTCGAGCGGTACTGGTCGCCGTAGCTGTTCGATGACGCAGGTGATGTACCTGGATGTAGCGATCCTGCGCCGCAGTGGTCGCTCGAGGTCGCCCACTACGAGGGGCATCTGCTACCGCATTCTGCCGGCGATATCTCTCCCAGAGCCGTGAAATGGTGCTTTGGTGAACATTCATGCGTCGGGCAACTGCACGTTGAGACTGGCCAGCTTCAAGCAAACCAATGGCGATATGACGGTTGGCTTCACTTAGACGTGGCATTTTGCGTTCGTCAACAATATTCCAAATACAGTGAATAATCGACAGACAGCGATCAACCTTTTATATACCATCATTGAGACTATCTGATCCCCAACTTTCACGTGCATTGCATGTGAATTGTGTATTCTGTGACACTACACGCCGAAATTGAAAAATCATGCTGTTAAATACGGGTATTTTACGGATGGTGCGTTTTGTTGTTGATGTTTCAAAACATAAACACCATAGGACTCATAAACAGAGCAAAACCTTTTGTAAAATGAATCACGTTTTAATTCATTGCTACATGAAATTGCTATTTTCATGATGCGTTTCTTTTGGGAGAGTATATTTTCGTCATTTGACTAAGATTTGTCAATTATTTCTTGGCTATCGCGCCAACAATCTTTTATATTGGCAAAACCCTCAGATTTTGCTGTGACCTTGAAAATAATCTCAAGGTCACTCCATTTCACTTGTGTCGGTGAATCTCGCCAATATACCTTGGTAAAAATTTGAACAAAATCCATCATTTCTTTCTTGAGTTATCGCCCTAACAAGCTTATTTGATGTATGAAATGCAACGAAAAACAAACACCCGCGTATTTACGGGTGATTAAAACTGTTATTACAATTTACGTAAATATTTATTACATTTTACCGCAACGAAAATTATTACAATTTACGTCAATTTTATTACAATTTGCGTATTTCAATTTACGTCAATTTTATTACAATTTACGTTTTTATTACAATTTACGTCAAGTTTATTACAATTTGCTGCAAGTATTACAATTTGCGTTTTATTACAATTTACGTCGTAACATGCACCTCCCAACCCTAATTAATTACTTATTCAAACCTTTACTCATACAGATTAAACATTTCATTATACGTTAAAATGTAATCCTTAAAAAAATCGTATCTTGAAAGCTATATTAATTGTAATGCGCGATGACTTAAGCATTGAATAATACTTAAAAGGTAATGATAAAAATTGATTTTTATATTAACATGTGGCATGTTGTCTAATCTATATACTTACACCTATTTCATGTCCTTGATATATGTCAGTGTATGGTGAAAGCATTATTCAAATCTAATTATCAGTCGCTTAGCCTAAAATTATAGTATTGGCTCAATAACTATACCTCTGAGTCGTCCTATCAAATACACACAATACATAAATATACACACAAACGGCCCTAGCTTGGGGCCCCTTTCCTTCAAATTTCCAGATAAGTCGACAGTTAAAGATAAAGAAACGGAAAACAAACAAAATACTCTACACACATAAATATGTACATGCTTTCTCTGTACCTAAAAAAAGAACCGTATCCAAGACATTACAAAAGTCACACAAATGCTGGCCTACCTGCTTGGGACGCCATGTTGTCTCCTAGATTACGTTTAGATCACTCGCCGTTATAAAACCGTACCTTGCCCTAAAGACAAGCAGTACATCAGCATTAAAACACTACAAAAGAGTGAGTGAGTGTGTGAGTTTGGTTTTTACACCGCTTTTAGCAATATTCCAGCAATGTTATGGCGGGGGACACCAGAAATGGGCTTCACAAATTGTACCCATGTAGGGAATCGAACCCGGGGCTTCGGCGTGACGAGCAAACGCTTTAACCACTAGGCTACCCCACCATTACAAAGAAATACCTTGCCGATTGTTCGACATTCTCGGCTATTTCTGGGGAATTTTCTGAGACAATCGCATTTTTCGATAAAATTTCTATTCCATTCAAGATAATTTGCCAATATTATACAATGACAAAATGGCCTATGCAATCACGAATCAAGATTTAACAGTTGCTAAAACATATTACTCGTTATCGGGATATGTCAGCCTTCAGGTGGGATTAAATAAAATAAATAGCGTTACAGAATATTGTTACCAAACCGAAAAAACATAATTACACCTTCAAGAAACCATTTTCATACGATATGTAAATTCACAATATCTTTAAAGATGTAATCCCTTATGTTGGTGGATAGTTGCGTGAAATGTTAAATAGTCAAACATTTTGACAGAGGTGAACGCTATTCTGAGATGGCATAAATTCGAGTGTTTGAGCATTCACATGAATTCCACTATCTGCTTGAATGGTATCATCTTTTTTGCCACACGCTTCTATACTTTCTGTTAAAACAAAGAAAACCGCTTCTTTTTAGGATTGTCGACAACACCAGAGAATGCATTGGTAACGTAAATATAGCGGTAAATATGAGAGGAGTGGAAAATCAGTGAGGAGTGAGTGAGTGAGTGAGTTTAGTTTTACGCCGCACTCAGCACTATTCCAGCTATATGGCGGCGGTCTGTAAATAATCGAGTCTGGACAAGACAATCCAGTGATCAACAGCATGAGCATCGATCTGCGATATTTAGGAACCGATGACACGTGTCAACCAAGTCAGCGAGCCTGACCACCCGATCCCGTTAGTCGCCCCTTACGACAAGCATGGGTTACTGAAGGCTACGTCTAACCCGGATCTTCACGGGTCAAATCAGTGACGAGACCAAGTGACATGTCCTGCCCTGTATATAGAACATGCCATCCGCACAATTTGCATTAAAAAGTAAGTGTTTATTGTCCATTCACATTTCCTATCATGCGACGGCAGCCTGTAAACAAATCACACGAACATGTCACGCACGGAACAGAAACGCCTGTGACACGATAGTGCATTTAATGATTTGTTGAACCTGAAAAAGATATGGAGATTTTGAATAACAGGAAACAAATACAATAGGAATATAACGAACTGTTATGTCAGAACACAATAAAATACAGTGTAATCAATTCTTTGATATCTATACTTGAACATTTAAACTAACCAAATATTGTACACAGTGCAAAGTGTTTGTTTTCAGTTAACTGACAAGTCAACCTACTTAATATTTAAAGCCAAAAAGCCTAGATATATGGTTAGTATAACTGTGACGGTTCTCGTTGTGTCTCGTCCGGCCTAGGAAATATACGTCATTGCCAGAGAAAAGTGTGCGAAATAGTTTTCCAAATTTTGCTAGCCTGAAAGTTACCAGCCCACAAAATAATTCACTAGCCCGAAATTTGAATGTAGAAACTAAGAAAATGATTACAAAAATAGATGAGAATAAGATATTGTCGGCATGACACGGCTTCATTATTACGCTGCCCATATGCATGATGAACAAAAAATGGCATTGTGTATGGCATTGTGTATTTCAATAATTGTATCAGGTCATAATCTTGCATGATATTAAAGTGTATTATAACTTAACAAGTCCAAGAGAGCGATATATTTACAAAATGATCATATGAAAATGTACTAGCCAGTCGGGCCAATGACTGTGGAGATTAACTGGCCCGGCTGGACTTTTACTAGCCACGAGCTAGCGGGCCAGTGGCTATTTCGCACACTGCCAGAGAATTACCAGGTTTGATTTTCTCATGAAACATACACCACAGGGCGAATTGGAGCGGTGAAAAATTTGAAAAAAGGGTCACAAAAGATCGGATGAATGTTTACACACCAACTTCCTACAACACTACTAACTGGGACGACAAGTGAAACTAATGTCAGCATTTGTAGTTGACAAAGAACGAGGAAACATTCAAAATGATTCCGGGTCCATATGTTCTACTATTACCAATGTAAGGTGGGTCAGTGCGACATATATTTCCTGTGTAGAGGAGATCAGGGTGACAAAGTCTGTGTACACGCCGTGGTACGTTCACATCAAGTGTAACATAAAACAATAATTTGAATGTGTTACTTATTTATATGACATGTGGATGGCACTTGGCCAATTTCTTGTCGCTTGTATGTGGCTTTTATACCTGCTGTCTAGCCTGCAAAACTGCCCTGTCTATCTCACAGTCCCTGAACCATACTATTTTCCCTTCCGCCCAGCATTGTCTGTAACGCAAACACTCCAAATGAACCGAGTCTACATTTTCCTCAGGTTGACGCTCCGGTTGGGCTCCTTCTCAATTTAGCTGCCTTTTCCTATCAGAGTTATAGATTTCCAAAGACTAAGCGTAAGTGCTGCCTGTATGTTTGTTGCTAATGGAAACATGTGTACACATAAATCATTATTCTGTTTTCTGACAGCAAAGTAGTTGGTGCATAGCATTACCATGGCATGTGATCGTCACGCTGTTAAATATATCACATTATACTATGTATACGAAAATGTGGAAATGTGACTTTAGTATTCTGTTTATTACTCTCCAACATAACATCGACAGAAACTGCCTACAGCATGATGACTCTCATATAAATTTTCCGTGAGTCAAGCAAGGTCTAATACCATTGCGATAGAGGCATTAGCATTTTGACGGTGTAACTGTAACCATTATGTCGCCATATGTCTATCGGTATTACACTAGTGTACCATTGCCGTAAAAATATTACACTACAGTATCTTCCACTGGCGAGTAATAAATAACATTATACTATATATACAGAAATGTGGTTACCAATGCAAGCAAGGCTATTTTGTAGCTTGCAATTGTTGATTACAAATAATATTTTCAAGTCTCGACAAGGAAGATAAATGCGAGTATGCCCAAAGCTAATAGAATACACTTACAACAGGGGTCATTCCAAATAGTATGTAAGGGCTCTCTGCATGGATAATGATGTAATTTCCTTTACCAGCAGTAAGATATTCTCAGTTTATCAACCAGAAAGGAACGTATTATGAATCGTCATGTACAGAAAGGTGAACCTACCTACGTGGGACGCCATATTGCTCTTGTAGTGTCAAGTTGACCTGGCGATTCCTAGTTTCATTTTGTGTTGTTGAAAATATATTGAATAAATTATGACGATAAGGTATTAACACAGATCCCATCAGAAAGATCCCCTTGTAATTTAATGTTGAAGAAATAATAGTGTTTTTTACCTATACCAGGTATTCGCTGCAATTCTCCATGTACAGTTAGTGTCCCCTTGTGCTAACCGGGCCAGCTGAGTTCAAACTTATATTTTAGAATCCCAGCTCTGAAAGCATCATTCCCGTTTTCGTTGATTTCTCCAAAGCGTTAAATGTCTGCGACCTGCACCAATCTAGTTGTTTGGGGTTGTTTTTGTTGTTGTTGTTGTTTTTGTATGTCTCAACTGAATGTTATTAGCGAACAGGGACCACATCCGTGTTTTCTGGAAACCGTGCATGCAGTTGTTTAGCATCTTCCGGACTATAAGGGAGGTCTTGTCTCTAAAGCAAAAAGTATATCATTAGAAATGGAATTTTCTTTGGCACATTACAATTCGGTAAATATTCTCACCCGAAAACTTCCCAACATTTATGAGTTTGTAAATTTTGTAGTAGCAACGAAATCGAAGGCGAAACTCAGTTTTATTCAGAGTGGAGGTACAATTCATGACAAGAAATTCTCATACATGGAGTCTTTCCACTACTACTTTCTCTTGTAGAACAGCATTTACATTTGATGAATGGTCCTCATTTCAATTAATGGAACACAGAGGGTATTCTGAGCTCATTTGGTGTCACATGCCTCACGAGAACACTTAGACCTTTGTGTTCACCCTTCGAAATGCAGCTTGTATACAACTTCACGCATACAAATACCATTTACTACCGTTTATCTGTTGCATATGAAAAACCTAACCAGTTCAAACAGTGTATTCCTTTCTGTAACGCTTTCAACCATATTAAAGTTACATCCAGGCATGCCATTCAAAGTGAATCATTTCGTAGAAATTTCTTACTTTAGTGAAACTCATTATGGGACTGTCACAACAATGGTACATTTTAAAATTCGGATCTATTATTAGTTGATCGTGATTCTAAAATCTGACAGCAGCGTGCTAAGCCGCCTCAGGTCCACCTTTGTGGGTTGCAAGTCCGAAACATTCGGAAGCAGGTCATCCAGACCAAGACGAGCACACTTTACACAAACTAAAATACCGGAATATCAAACGTCAGTTCCCCAGACTTCAGTCGATATAGGTTCGATCCTAATCTAATCATTAACACGTGATCAGTGACGTCATCAGACTCTGGTATCGTCTGATCCAAAACATTATATATCACGTGATGCTCATCCTCGATCTTTGGGGGCAGAAGTGATAGGTCATCGTTCAGATGAAACTCCTGAAAGATGCAGCCAATTCTCGAGATGAGGTCAATGTCATCCAGTTTTCGTCTTCTACGAGTTATTTCAGATTTAAAAATTTCCCGGGCAGATATTTGTTCTAAGTCTGTGGATCCGTGTGCATCATCTACTTCTCTGGGTGGAAGCTCTTCAGCAAGACAGTAATCGTTTCCTTGGTTGACGCTGGATTGGACACAACCAACACTTCCACAAATAGGGCTAGCATTCAACGGACTAATGAAATCTTTCTGTCCAAATGAATCAAAGTTATCTTTTACATTTTTGAGTACCTTCTCAACGGCATCTTTAAAAAAATTCGCATCCAGCGTTCCACCAACCATGAATTCATGTTCATATTTACCCCTTACTGGTGTATTTACCGTCCGTGTCATCTTGTCGCGTGGAGTTAGGCTTACATCAAGATACTTATTGAGCCCAGTTTTCGAGTAAACAGAACGCTTATTTGGTGTAACCTCTGTGGTGGTATCCTTTTCCACTTTGGCATAGATCTGTGAAGTTTCGTCGATACCAGATTGATTTTTAACAGAAAGCGTATCAGAATCATCATCAGACAAAATGCTGATGCTTAAAGGAGACACGGTCGACTCCGGTGACGACGGGTTGTCATCAATGCAAAATAACCGGCATGCAACACCAGGCATGCGCATAATCGTAACACCACTGCTGACTTCCGGGTCGTCTCCAACTTCAGTTTGATAGGCACTCTGAGGTTCAAACGTAGCTTTGACGTCAGTGGGTGCTTTTCTTGGACTGCACGAATGACGAAGCTTTAAGGACCTTGATCTATGTCCTCCTCTTATCCTGGGGGGTGTCCCGGCATGAGCTGTACTTTTCAGTGGGGACACTAAACTCTCTGTAAGCCTTTCGCATGGCGTCCGCTCTGTTGTATAGGGTGTCTGTAGACATGCGCGATATGCAAGTTCGACATTGGCAGTTGGTCCACGTAAAGACATCGCAGAGACTTTGGGCACACTGTGTTGGTTTCGTAGATTGCTTGGGGAAGACTGGGGATATAAAAATACATCATATCTGAGCATGTTCACATCCTCTGACGTATACGGCCATCTTGCAATATTTATCAAAGCCACTTCTATGGTGTGCGGGAAGAACACAATCATCCATGGAAATACAGAATAGAAATATCAGGACTGACTATACGTTACCGCGGTATATTATTTTGGTTTACTCGCATTTTTAGAGGACTTCATGACTCATGGTACACACATACCTCGGGCCTAGAAAGATGCATGTTTGAATCTGTGCCAGAACCACGTGGTTCAATATGTTCCATCCGAGAGGGGGGTTTAGCTGCCTTCGGCGTACAGGTGTTCCTGGCTCCCGTCGTCATTAGCTTCAACTATTGGTGGTAGAATATATCAACCAGTCTAAAATCAGCTTGTCTTATCTCATAACTGGGTACATAAAGGTATATGAACAGTACTAGGTGTTTCTTTGTATGTTTACGCCGCACTCAGCAATATTCCAGCTATATGGCAGCGGTCTGTAAATAATCGAGTCTGGACCACACAATCCAGTGATCAATAGCATGAACATTGATCTGCGCAATTGGGATACGATGATGTGTGTCAACCAAGTCAACGAGCCTGACCACCCGATCCCGTCAGTTGCCTCTTACGACAAGCATGGGTTGCTGAAGACATGTTTCTTGAAACATATTGATGTCACTGTTAATACTGACGCATCGAATACATTTTTATGTTGATGTCCAATTGGTTATGAATATATTTTGAATCCTCACGCGTCGTCATTAAAATCATGAGACATACCAATGAAAGGGAAGTGTTTTCTGCTTTTGTTAATAGTGTCTGAAAAGCAATGCGGAATGAGTGTGAGAAAACGGTTTTGGATTTGAACAAGTACGGTTATTAGACCCACAAACAACTAGTGGAGAATCAAGATTTGCCAACCTACCGTAATGAATGTGCCCTAGAGAAACAAGTAATGTTGATACAAACTCCACTGAAGTGATTGTGTCCTGACATTCCCGTGGTTGTCACAGCATACAGTGTTGCTTAGCATGCTGAGACATACAAGTACAGTGGTGACGTCATAATACCTGCGTCATAATCACCGGTGACGTCACAATTGGGCATTATTCATGTAAGGATTGACTGTGCATGTTTTCGGTTCATACAGGGGGAATGGACTGAAATACCGACGTGCAAACTGTATGAATCCGCATACGAAGCGTACATGTAGCAGGATGTGCCCACATGGACCCGAGTGTCTCGTTACGATCACGTAGAAACAAGGAGGTTAACGCAATGCTGACATATCAAGCAAAATAAACAAACCTGTGAAAAACTATGCCTCTTTACTCTAACATATATGTTTTATTTCAAATGGAATTAATTATAACTCATAGATGCAATAGTAAATATCAAAATACACGTTTTGTTCTTAGAGTAAGTGGGTTTAGTTTTACGCCGCACGCAGCAATATTCCAGCTATATGGCGGCGGTCGGTAAATAATCGAGTCTGGGCCAGACAATCAAGTGATCAACATCATGAGCATCGATTTACGCAAATGGGATACGATGACATGTGTCAACCAAGCCTGACCATCCGATCCCGTTAGTCGCCTCTCAAAAGATGCATGGGTTACTGAAGATCAATTCTAACCCGGATGTTCACGGTTCTTTGCTCTTATTAGACAAATCAACCATATCCCTGTGATGATAGTCATTAACCTCCATGATATATATCAGTACTCATTCATTACAGATCTTGAAAGATAACGGGTTTGTTCATGAGATTATCAAATAATCAAATACAATATATTCATTTGGTATGGAATAAGCGAATGTCGTTCCTATATTTATAAATGGCACATTACTCAAACTTAAAGGTCACATGCAACCAAAAAATCAGACATAATTAAAACACAAATATCACTTATTCATGACATATAATATACATTGCTGATTATATAAAAAAAACCCATATAAACAAAATTATAAGCGTACAATCGCAAATCAAAGGTGCAATATTTTGTACTTGGGTTTACTTCCCTCGAAACGAAGCACCCGGGATACCGAACCCAGTCAGAGCGGGTGGGTGTGTAATTACATAATGTGACAGAGACCGAACTCGGGCCATAATAAATGCGTTTTGTTTATGGTGTATAGCCTGATAGGTGTTAAGTTCAAATTGCATGTGGTCAGTGATCGAAGTTGTGTATTGAATATTGGGCGAGATTTCCTTGTTTCTCTATTGCACTATGGCAAACGTTCAAATAAACACTCGTTTCATTCCCAATGGACGCGGCGGTCAGTCCTTTGTCTACAGGGGCTGTAAGTTATATACATTCTATATAATTAATAAATAAAGATAAACATTGAGTCAAAAGTAGTTGATATTTTATCACATTTGGTACCGGATACTATTTCACAGGGAGCAAAATAAGGGATGAAAGGGGATTATCACACCCCAGTGATTTCTTCTACTGAAACAATAGGAGTTTGGTAAGTGGGAAGACCCCGAATATTGTCATTAGCAGACAGGTAGGCAGACACATAGGTGTCAATAAAACAGACATTGGGTTTTGTCTGTGACAACGACATATCTATATCACAGTTAGAAATTCTGTCAACGCTAAATAATGACATTGCTTTTAAGTATCGAACTGAGAAAGTGACTCTGTAAGAAGAACGTGTGGTGAAATAGACAAATGGAATTATATAAACAGTTAAATCGGTAATCTACGGTCATAACATATAAAAAGCTCGCGCCTGTGAAATATCAACAAAACATTAGAAAAATAGCTCACATCAAAGCCTTCACCGAGTATTCACCGTCAGCGAAGGTTTTCCGTCTTGAAATGTCGAACGCCTCACTGGTTAACACATAGCTGAGTAGATCTAGATCCTAACAAGGTTCTTTTATGTAATGAGTAGATTATTTACTATTTGTTTTGATTAGACTACTCCTGCTCATGAACCTTATAATCCGAACATCCCGCTTCCAAGCTGCGCGAACCTATTTCACTGCACATTTGCTATGAGCGCAGCCAAGCTGTTGAAACCACTTTTCACCCCAAGCACTGGGGTGAATTTAGTGAATCGTTTGAATTTCGCGGGGTTTTTTCATCGCGTTATTTTTCAACTTTATAAGTTGAATTTGCATTTTTGATGATTTGTATCTGTAAGTCCATACCGAAAGGTATCAGAATCTGCAAAGTTGTGTTTTACGTTGCATGTGACCTTTAAAATTATAGTGAAATAAAAAAATATAAAACTAATCCGATATCTTGACGGAAATCGTATCGGATACATACTTTGGCAAAAGATGTGTTACTGCTATGTGATTACAAGTTAAGACAGTGCAGGACGATTGCAAATAAACGGATAAACCTCGTTTTATTGGAGCCTCTTTCAAAAACTATCCTTGAGAAGAAAATGTAATCTTTATTTCGAGCATATTCTTTTCTATTTGTACCAGATTGATGATCATAATATAAATAATACAGCATTGTACTCATGTATCTACAGTTGATATTTTACCACCTATCATTTAGATATAAAGTTTATCTAAATACACTCAATGTACTCAATCTCGACAGCGCCGATTATGTTTAAGGTCCTGTCAGAGTATAGTCCCTTTGAGGAAGATGAAAACGCGCCACTAACGCATGCGCGCCGAACAAGTCTGTTCCGGTAAAACATCAACAATTTTGTTGCTATGCTTTGAGAACTGAATTTAAAAATCAAATTTTACAGCCATATCAATGCAGTTTGCCTCGTCGGTAAGATATATACCTTGTTAATTTACTAATCACGCTTTTTCAAATACACCCAAAAGTCGATCAAGTCGATGTGAACACATATGGTACCGGCTTACATTGCTTGGATGTTGAAACATGTCAAAATATTTGCTCGTTTTCATTCAGGGCATTTTGGTATACCTTTTAAAGAGTGGCGTGCAGCAGATTTTTTTCTTTGAAATAGATAACGAAACAATTCTTTATAAAATGGGGTAGTGTGACTGAATTAATCACTCATTGTTTAATAGATCTAATAATAATGTTTATACACAGTCAAGATAAACCAACAAACGTCCACCAAAAACATTTATAGGACTGTTTGAGTAGCCTTTTGAAAGTCCTGTATGGTCGACATAACAACCATATCTTCTTCACAATAAAGATTGATGGTAAGAGTTCCTTACGTACCGCCCACCAATTTTTTAAGTTTTAAGCCATAGACTAGACTATAGTGTTTGCTCATCACAAAAATAGGCGGGGGATACGTAAGGAACTCTTTCCCCTTCTATAACTGAATATGTGAAACAATAATAAATAAAAATAAAAATGTCTAAATAATGCCAGAACAAGTATCTCAAGAATCAGGGGTTGCTAGATTGAACAAAGGTGTTACAGATAGAGTTGTGAGGAGTGGTGTTTGCATGAGTTCATCATGTTCGTGATGAACGTGATGAATGTACCCATAGCCTGCTTTTGATAAACCAGCTAAGCCCAGCTGCCTTCTCTTATATCCTTGTGTGGGGCGGGGTAGCCTCGTGTTACAGCATTCACTCGTCGAAAGGCCGGGTTCGATTCCCCACATGGGTACAATCAATCAATCAATCAATCAATCAATCAATCAATCAATCAATCCCTTAGATTTCTGTCATTAGAAAGAGGTGTGCAACAAATAATAAGTGCTTTGTCATATATGTAGGTCTTTGATGAGAGGTGAGGCTATTGTTTACTTCTATAACACTAGAGTATATTGACGATGCTATTTCAGCTATAAAGTCATATAGAGATGTCTCGACGACTCAGTCGTCCGTCTTCAGCTGCATCACACAGAAGCAGTGGATCATCCGGCTACGACTCAGAATTCAAAACAGAATGTAAAGCAGCCTACCTGTCTATCTACGATGACCTCAAGGATGTCATCTCTTCTGAATATGATCTGTCTGCAGGTAGGGTTGAGGAAAAAAACTATAACTGTACTTGCAGAAATTTCTGCATTCTTGGAAATAAAGCAGTTGTATATTTTCCTATCAGTAGTAATAGAGCATCTTGTGTAGTTGATTGAATATGTACTACTTTTATATAATCTTTTATGCCGATAATTTGTGTACATGGCATATTCAAGCCTAATAATATATAGTAATATTCAAACCTGTTTTTGTAATTTGAATTGTGTTTGTTAGTTGTTGTACTTTTGTTATTTAGTTCTGCAGCAGTCTGGAAGAAATCCCACCAAAAAGACACTAGCAAAGTACTGGACAGATGACACAGGTGAGTTTGAATTTACATCCGTCCAGGGAGTTTTCTACACCGGTTTACTTGTCAATATTCAGCCTGAAGTCTGTAGCAAATGTCTGTAAAATACCCAAAGTTGGAACTTAACATGTTCCAATTCAAGTTGTTATAGTTTAAACTTATGTAGGGGAAGAAGCATCAGTGCTTAGTTTTACACTATTGAATTGAATGCAGTTTTAAAATTTCAGTGCTAAAATACAAAGTTTTATAGATCACTGTTTGGAACGTAATAGAATTTCTTAGCATAAAAATTTGAAACCTGTCATTGAATTGAAAGCATTAGTTTTCAAACTATAATTCTAGCACGACATTGTGTGATACTCGATTCTGATTGGCTGAGAGCTCATCAAAACCGTACTGAAATGGCAGTTTAAGACCGCTAATTAAAGTGACCGATTCACCGCGTATGAATTTCGGTTTTTAAATTACATTTAACGGTCTAAAATCAACGATAAAGGACCGCAAAATTGAAAACAGAGTAGCTTTATCTTGTAAATGAAATGTTTGAATCAGACATGGGTGAGCAATGGGGTTTGTGCATTAATCTGCATTTATTGATATTTCACAGATTATCTCACATTTGATGATTTTGTCAACATCTGTCGCCGTGAACATGCCACAACTACAGATGACTTGATGAAAGCTTTCCGCAAGATTGACATCAACGGAGATGGTTATATATCCCTGGATGAGTTGTTCAGGATGTTGACAACAGTTAGTGTTTTACTGTCAGACATTATCACATATGGTTTATCATCCACATGTTAGGACTGTTATACTTATATCACAACCTGCACACAATATTTGAGTGTAGCATGTCACCCATAGAGATTTAGGGTTAGGATTGATGCCTAGCCACCCTGTTAGTAAGAGGCAACTTGAGGGATCAGGTGACTTAGTTGATGACATGTGAGTGAGTTTAGTTTTACGCCGCACTCAACAATATTCCAGCTATATGGCAGTCGTCTGTAAATAATTAAGTCTGGACCAGACAATCCAGTGATCAACAGCATGAGCATCGATCTGCGAAAATGGGAACCGATGACATGTGTCAACCAATCTTGATCTGGTTAGTCGCCTCTTATGACAAGTTACTGAAGTTATTGAAGATCAATATTCTAACCCCGGACCTTCACGGGTTTGATGGCATGTCAACATACCCCAAGCATGGATTCTTGCTGACCATGCTCACTATATCAGTCACTGGATTGTCTGGTCCAGATTCCAGACCATTGTCAAATAGGAGGTATGTTGGTGATTGGGTCATTAAACAACACACACTTTTACAGGTATGACATATAAGCTTTGGCATCTTTTTCTTGTGTCATACTCTCTGATGTAAAACTTTAGGGATACTTAAAACACTGTTTATTGTATCCTTTTTAATGTTGCTGATATATCCCAGTATGTTCAATGGTGTATGATTCAGAAAAGAACATTAAGAGAACAATGGTGAATATAGGCTATTAAAATTAACATTAATCATTAATAAGAATGACATTGATTGACAACATTGACACTTGTGTTGTAGCTGTTCACATTTTCATAACAACTGACAAATGCCACTTCAAGATATTAAATTACTCTGAAGCCAGGTTGATTATACAATTCGTAATACTGTTTCTGTAACATCAACAATCAGTATGTAGATGTAGGTTTTTTCAGTTGTGGAAATTTCAGTTGAGTGCCCAGAAACCTGTACTTATTTGTAAAGGTGACTAAATCGGCTTTGAGGTTTGAGTCATTGACTTTTGGGGTTGGGTGTGATCACATACTTATGGTATCTGACATTGTTGATAAGTGAGTATGGTTTTACGTCGCTTTTATTTCAAAAATATCACAGCTGGGGACACTAGAAATGGGCATCACACATTGTACCCATGTGGGGAATCGAACCCGGGTCTTCGGCGTGAGAAGCGGACACTTTAACCACTAAGCTACTCCACCGACCCACATTGTTGATAACATGCCACTGGTTTGTTTTGTGCACACTCGCTTGTTATACAGGCCGCTTTGAACCTAGGTTTAACAATGCTTGAAACCCAGAGTAAATTTGGCGACCTTGTAATATATTGTTAGAATCAGGAGATGGTGCTAAAATAGATCCCAGAACAGGAAAGATGACCATTGTGTCACAGCTTGTACAACCTGTATGGAATAATCATATTCTGTTTCAGAGAGGTGAAAAGATGACGCGAGATGAGGTGCAGCGTATGATTGACGAGGTTGATGAGAACAGAGATGGCAGGCTGGACTATGAAGAGGTGAGACAAACAAAGCTCTGTACCCATAGTTTATATTTGCTGAATCAGTTTCAAATATCAATATTCATTTTCAGCTACCGTGATATCTTCAGTTTAAAGTTCTTTGGACAAAGTGTGTTCATGTTTGAGATCATCTTTTCTAGGCGTGAGCGTCCATTCACCTGTATCAAAGTCTAGTTTCCACCCTTGCCTGAGATGCAGTTCTATTTATGACCCATATTGCCATGGTGTGCATTGTTACTGATACTGTGATACTACAAGCCTCTGTACGTATAAGAGCCATATATGGCACTGATAAATATCTTTACTGTGGTGAGCATTTCAAATTGCCATGTTGTGCATTGTTACCCGATACTGTGATACTACAAGCCTCTGTACGTATAAGAGCAATATATGGCACTGCTAAATATCTTTACTGTGGTGAGCATTTCAAATTGCCATGATGTGCATTGTTACCCGATACTGTGATACTACAAGCCTCTGTACGTATAAGAGCAAAATATGGCACTGCTAAATATCTCTACTGTGGTAATCTGTCATTTTGTTTCTCATTCAGGTATGAAATCTTGAATCCTATCATTATCTGATCAAACAGGTCATCTGCTATGGTAGATTGTGAGGCAATTCTAAATAACAACAGTGATCTTATTGGATACTAGTATCAAGTTTTTCACACAAGGGGCACAACTCATGCCCTGCAGGAAGTGATGTCATGATAGTGTCGTGTAAAGTAGCTTTGAAATATCAAGAGTGAAAATAGGCTTTGATACAGACTGGTGGACATGCTTGCCTCGGGAAGATGGTGTGACACAAAGGGCAGTTCTTTGACATGTAGTATATGTTTCAAATACATTTATGTTAATCATATCTCATTAGAATCAAGTAATGCTTACAAAGATCTGGGGAAATCCTGTTACAGCAACAAACGATCTTTGTTTAGCAGTAGCAAGCATCAAAATCTGTATAGATATCTATACGTACAACACTTTCGTATGACTTCAACTTAAAAAACTTCAAACAATCAGTAATATTAATTACTTTGTTAGGACAATGTACCGGTAGCTGCATTTTCTTTGTCATTGTGTATATTGATATATTGAGATTCGAGTTAACAAGAATTTATTGTATTTGAAAGTGACTAAACATTGTACCAAGTAGAAATCAATGATAATTTGTTTGAAATATGCACAGCACTAACCTAGAACATATTGTTTTATGACATTACAGGAAAAATTTGAATTCAGTTCCCATCTAATACATATTCAATGTTTACTGATATATTTATGTTCTGTATATTGGAAGACCTGTAGACTGTAGACAGGCATGATGTTCATGCTGAAGGGATTGTTGCAGGGTAGGGACTACTAATCAATGTACTCCAATGTTTCTGTACATAGAAAGATACCTGGGGTACATTCCTGTACTACCCTGTTATATGACCCCTATTAGTGTGGAAAATCAGATTTCTGGGCATATTTGACTATTTAGATCTGCTATTGAAAACTAATGTAAATTTGATCTTGAACCTTTAAAGTTCTTGTCATGTCAAATGCTGGAATTCCAATATACAGTCTATGATGTGATATATTAACTGTGACTCTCACGGAACAGTGCACTGTATATATTGTTCATCCCTCTCTCTTCTAGAGAAAACTCTACTATTCTGAGGTATCCTTTTCTGTTGTAGACATTTTCATCCCATCAGTACCTTTTCCATGTCATATTTCACTGTCATGTTACCTGTTCTCAATCATGCATTTAGCTTGAATAGATATTACAAATACATTTTATACTTGTCATATGTTGTATGGGTCGGAGTGGCAATATGTTTTGGGTTCTCTTTGTTCGTGTGGATCGGTTATCCCGAAGCTTATTGTGGATTTCTAGTGTGTTGGTAAATTGTGCTAAAACATGTGTTTGATTACATTATTCAATGTACATATTTCAACATGATAATCAGTTGAGAGAATAATATCATGAATATATGATGAATACATACTAAAGCTTAAAGCATGTGAAGTAGTACTTTGGTATAGGATTATCAAACACAAGTAAGGGAACTGATAGATGATTTATGAAAATTATACAAGTAAAAGATTCTTTATTAAGATTAACTCTATGACTGTCAAATTAAGTTGACTTTTTTCTCATATTCATGTACAGGCCTATGTTTAAGAATTTTGTACTCTTGGTAATTTTCTTATCACTTCAGACAAAATGTTTATGTATCATAAATATCAGTGATGTGGGAAATATTTATGAGACATGTCCATACTTGTAAAACTAACCAGTACTTAGGTCATTGCTGATTTGGTGGGCTAATCGAATAATGTGTGTGTATTTGTTATATTCTTTCCTCACTGCAGAGACCATATAATAGATATAATAGATATGGTGTCTGCTCACTGCAAAGACAGAGTGATAGCTTTCACTGCACATCATAGAATAAACATGGTTGTTCTTGAATTGTCCTGATTCTAAGAGACTGTAGGTATGTTGTGGTACAGATATATATCAGGTGAACAAGTCACATGATGCTGTAACCATGCCCAACTGAGTGAGAATTATCACATAGTACTAAACTCAAGGGAGAATTATCAGTGCGTTTTGCATGCAAAGGTGAATTATCAGTGTATTGTATACAAGGTGAATTATCAGTGTATTGTATACAAGGTGAATTATCAGTGTATTGTATACAAGGTGAATTATCAGTGTATTGTACACAAGGTTAATTATCAGTGTATTGTATACAAGGTGAATTATCAGTGCGTATTGAGTACAAGGTGAATTATTATTCCATATTGAATAGAATGATAAATTATCATTGAGTGTTAAAGGTCACATAAACCCTAGGGGGTACAAATACATAAATCACTAACTGGCATCGTTATAAATGAAACCCCGTCATTAAAACTACTCATTTCGACCTTTAATTGACTTAAATCGACCTTTTTGACAACAGTGCACAATTCTCACCCGTGAACGAAATTTCAACCAATCAGAGCGGCGCGCCTCTGTGACGTCATATGAGGAATAGCTTTGAGAGCCGATGCAGAATTCATCTACATTTTAGGGGGTAAATTATCGTGTTTACAGGCTTGTATAAACCTGAAATCGTGACAATTGTTGTGGAAAATGAAAGCTATATGTTCTCACAATCTACTGTCATTTAATTTTGTCTCCTGCTTTGCCTAGTTTTCCGAAGTTACAACTTGTTTTCATAGACGATTCTGTCAAAATCGATTGGTGTCGTTAGGCCCTATTTGTATAATGACTGATCCAAATTGATCCCATTTCTGTGTTGTTTTACCTCGATATTTAATCATGTCATGTAAAAATCTGTTTGTATTCTCAAAACAGTGTCGGCCCATAAGTTTTCACATGCAATACAGCAATTAATACTCCCTCGTTGTAACCCGTGTTAGGTGGTATAAACCTACACATGTTATTTGTCATCATTCACTTGATGGTCAGTTAATGAATTTATAACAGGTATAATTAGTGGTAACACACTTAGATTACCCGACAAAGGTTCCCATTTGGCATTTCTTGTGTCTGGAGTAAATATTCAACATTATAAACATCGATCAAAGGATTAACCGATAACACGCTGATTGATTAATTACTTTTATCTTACACAGCTGAATTGTCAAAAGGTAGTGTTTATGTATGTAGATTTACTAATCTATACTGAATACACTCTGTCGCGGTCGGTGTTCGCGTAAAACAACGTCCTTCTTTCAAAGGATTAACCGGCAATACATTGATTGATTGCCCATTATTGGCTAACTAAATTACTGTTTTAAAGAAAGGCGGACATTATGCAATTAGTTGCCAGGTGTGCTATCTTGGGTGACCAATGAGACTATACACCAATACATGAAAAGATTTATCACTTTTTCAGTATATTAAACTGTTAAAAAAGACACATCATTTGGAACAGTTTTGTGTATATTGATGGATACATTCCTCGAACAAGGTAATGGCCTGATATTGTTCCTATAACTTTAATCTGTTTTAATTTTAATATTTGCATTTTGTTTTTATTCATTTGTCGTAGCATTCAACAGAATCATTGTTTTCGCCGTGAAGTGTAATGAGACAGACAACATGCACTAGGGTGTCTGTGCGAATTATGATTCACACTGGCAAACTATAAAATGTCTAGATATTACAGTTCTGTTATAAATTCACTATAAGTATCAGCAGATCGTCTGCTTTTTATTTAGTTTCAAAATGCATACAAGTGTGATAATAAACTAATTAGGATTATAAGACCAAATATAAAGACGCACATTGACTAGTATCTACATACTGGTGAGTGGACATTAACCATGGGAATGTAGCAAGAAATTTATCGCGCAGTATTGTGACTTCGACCCCCACCTCGCTTCCGTGGAAGAAATCGTTATGTTATAATAATAATAATAATAATAAGTGTTCTTGTATAGCGCACAAATCAAACTGCAAGGCAATTTCTCTAGGCGCTAAAAGATAGAGTGATCTGAAGAAAGGATTAAAGTTCATAAGCTTGTTTAAAAAGGAAAGTTTTCAGTTGGGACTGGAAAGATTCCACGGACGCGGCTTGTCGGATGTGAAGAGGCAGTGAGTTCCAGAAGAGGGGAGCTGTGTAAGAGAACTGTCTATGTCCATATGACTTTAATCTGACCTTGGGGACATTCAACTGACAATTAGAACTTGATCTTAAAAGCCGTGGTGGGACATATTCACTGAGGAGATCTTTCAGATAGATTGGAGCTTTGTCATGGAGGCACTTGAAAGTTTAGAGTGAGGATTTTATATTCTATTCTCTGTTTCGTGGGCAGCCAATGTAAGCGTATCAGCAATGGTGTAATGTGACTGCGCTTTGTTGACTCGGCAAATCAATCGCGCCGCAGAGTTCTGAATCCTCTGGAGCTTGGACAATAGATCTTGGCGGATATTTACAAGAAGACTGCTGCAATAATCCAAACGTGAGAGAACAAGTGAACGAACTAGGTGGTGAGCTGCATCAAATGTCAGAATATCACTTAATGGAAGCAATATTTCTGAGATGAAAATAGCATGACTTACAAACAGAGTTTTACGTGTGTTTCCATGGATAAATTTGAGTCTAGAAAAACACCAAGGTCTTTCACGGAATCACTGAAAGGAACTTTCTCATTACCTACTACCAACTTAAGACACATCCACCTTAGCAGTGCTACTGGGTGATCCACACAGCAAAACCTCGGTCTTACTGTCATTTAATCTCAGCTTCCTTTGTATCATCCATGCTTTGGAGTCAAGGATACAGTCTTCGATTATAGACATATCGGCTGGAAGTGAGTCCGGTTTAGTGGAACGCAACAGCTGGGTGTCATCAGCATATGACTCGTACATCACAACATGATGCCGAATGATATTGCCGAGATTCTTCATATAGAGTGAAAAGAGAATGGGCCCAAGAACGGAACCTTGTGGCACTCCGTATGTAAGCTGATGCGCATTAACGATTTCATCGCCTTGAATGACCACAGATTGTGTCCTATTATTGAGGTATGAGACAAACCATCCAAGAGCTGTGCCATGAATACCAAATTCTGTTTTCAGACACTCAGTTAGTTGAACATGGTCAATGGTATCAAAAGCCGCTGATAAATCAAGCAGCGTTAGAACTGTAACATAGCCCGCATCAGCTGCAGCAAGAAGTCTCTCCATCACATGCAGAAGTACGGTCTCTGTGGAATGATCGGAGCGATATGCAGACTGATGCACGTCATAGAGATCATTCAAGGTCAAGTGATCAACAAGGCGTACCTTGATTGCCTTCTCAAGCAATTTTGATATGAAGGATAAATTAGAGACAGGCCTATAGTTCGATAGTGTGTCAGCGTCTAAGCCAGGCTTTTTCAGGAGTGGCTTAACAACAGCGACCTTCAGACACTTGGGGACACATCCGGAAGATAAACTGCTGTTTAGGCCTACCTTTAGAATACAGCACCACAAACTTTAAAAATACGTCATAATACCCTTTTACGTAATGTAATGTGATTTTGTTCGAAAGCACGTTCTCGAAACAATGCCTTATGACGCCTGCATGGCAACACGGTTGTCTGGCTCAGCGAGGGCGTATAAGCTCCGCTCACTGGTGTTTCATCTCTACGAGCTATGTCATTGCATAAGCCCAACGATGTTGAGAGTTTCCAGTAGTTGTATACCGGCGGATGCGCAATATTTTGCAAGCACCAGTTTGAAATATTTTTCTTTTTTCACTAATACGCTCATATTTATTTGTATTACGGGCTGCTGAGGTGTTATGTTTTGTGTATTTTGTATTTTTTAATTTTTTAAATTTACATATATATATTTGTCATTCAGTAATTTGCACCATTACATAGAAAAGTGTTTTATTAGTATTTTATTTTTCAAGCGGTAATAATGCATTACACTAGACACGCCAGTCGGTTTGCCGGTTCGGTCAATGCATTCTATTTATTAGGATTAATTCAAGGGATTGGGGTTAGGGCTAGGGCTAGGGCTAGGGCTAGGGCTAGGACTAGGACTAGGACTAGGGTTAGGTTTAGGGTTTAGGGTTAGGGTTGGGGTTGGGGACCTAATGCAATATATAGTAGGTACATGTCCGGTGGTTCGGTCAATGCATTCTATTTATTAGGATTATTTCAAGT